TTGGTTTGTTTTTGGCCAGCAGAGAAAAAGCATCTTGCTGTGAGGGCATGAGGTTAAAACTGCTGCTGGTAGAGCTGAATTGGCCTGTGAGTTGGAGCACTGGTGATGGTACCTGCTATCTGAATAATGTGGGGAATCTGGGGAAAAGGGAGGCTGTCACTTGCTGTTTAAAGTATTTTTTTAACCTGTTCAACACACTTGGTGTACAAGTCTTACTGCAGTACAAAATGATGGCAGCTGAAAGACGATTCCAGCTGTCCCAGGCCAAGGTGGAATAGGTTAGAAAAGTGACATTTTTGTTACTGCCTTGGAGCAGCTGATCACACCCACCTGTTTCAGGAGAGGTCACCATTTGCTTGTACTGATACCTTAGGATTTTAGCTTTTATATTTTCAATATATTTGTAATCCTGTAATTCTTTCATGTATACCTCTAAAGTCCAAATACAGTGTTAGCTACTGTCTTCACAGTTTGGTCACACAACACAATTCCTCTCTAGTTCTGGGGATCAAGGACACCTCACTGTCTCAGGCCCTGAGAAATACAAACGAGAGTGAGTTGGGGGGAACCAAACTTGCGGTAAATGACTTCATTACCTGAAGCTGTAATTGGAATATCAACCCCCAATATGCAAATGGACCAAACCTATAAAAGCATGAATAACCATATCCATTTTGGGTAGCCCCTGGGAGTGAAACCTGCAGTGTGAACAGCACTTGGCTTTTCCTCTAAGCAGAGTGGATTTTTCCATAGCACAGGGTGGTGGCAGGTGAGTTGGCTGCTCTTAGTGCCCTGGAGTCAGGTGCTGTGGGCTCTGCCCTCACCCACCATCCTCCAGCACGTGACAAAAGCTAGCAGCACTTCCATCAGCAGCACCACCAGCCTGGCTTGGTGGTTCTGCTGCTTTTTTTTTTTTATTTTTTTTCCTCCCCCAAAGAGAATTTATTGCTTTCACAAGGCACCTTCCTGGACTGAAGTCCTCCCTTTATCTGCAGAACCAGCACAGCTGATTGTACCCAGTAATTTTCCTGCTGGTGACCCACGAGGAGGGGCAGCGCCCCAGCAGGGGACAGCTCGGTCCCAGGGCTGTCATCAGGCTGTGACTCAGCTGTCAGGAGCTCTTGCAAAAATGGGGTTTGGGCAGTGCCCTGCTCCCAGCTCCACCCTGGGGCTGCTGCTGCTGCCGAGGTGCTGAGGAGCTGCTCCTGCTTAGAGCCTGCTGCACCTCACCAGGCGTTCCTGAACCTGTCCAGCTCCGTGCTCAGCCTCCTGCAAGGTGGAACTTGATCCCTCACACTTCCTGCAGCTCTCTGTGCCTGGGCAGCCTTTGGCCTCTTGCTGAAATGGTTTCTCCATGTGGGAATCCAGAGCTTCCCTCTGGCTGCCCTGGCAGGTCTGGGACCCTGGCAGGGGTCAGGAACCCCCCTGGACAGAGCCCCCAGAGACACTGTCTGTGATCTCTGTCCATGGAAAAGAGTTTTCAATCTTACAGGATGAATTACAAGATCTGAGTGTTTGATATCAGTAATAATTAAGTGTGGCACAGGTGCAAAAGTAAAATTTTAGGATTCTAGATTAGGGGTTCAGAGGGGACAAGATGGAGGAATTGGGTGTGCCTTGTCCTTTTCCTCCTTCTTCATGCCCTCCATGTTTCACTGTGGTGTTGGCATTTTTCTGTTGGTTCAGGCTGGGGACACACTATTCAACGTAGGTGACAGATATTGGCACGTTATTGTAAATCCAGCACAGGTAGTTTGTGGTATTTAATGTTTGTACCATCCCACTGAGGGCAGAGCCCCACACGCTGCCCTGCAGGACAGAGCTGCAGCAGGGCAGCAGAACATGTTAGAGATAAACAGAATAAACAACCTGGAAAACAGCACAGATGAATTATGGCCTCTTCTTTGGCAGAGGGGCAGAAAGACAGAGACTTTCTACAATCTCAGAATCATCAATACCACAGATTCTGACACTCCATGCATGGGAGGGATGCTGGCCTGCTGCCCTCAGGCTGGGACATCCAGATCCAGATCCCTTTTTCCCCCCCTGAGGGGGCTGCCAAAAGGGAAAGGGAAGGCAGGGTCTGCCAGCAATAGCAGCATTTCGGGTATTACATGAGGAGGATGTGCAAGATGAAGTCACCCCGTGCTGCTGGACTGGGGTAAGAAGATGAAGCTGAGGACAGAGCACCGTGTGTGGGGGAGGCACCTGAACACCCAGCAAGGAGCCCATGCTGGCAGGACTGGCCTCCTTCCCTCCCTCTGGAGACATGGAAAGAGCTGCAGAGGCTCACACTGACAGCCAGGGGTCTTCTGCACAAATTTTTTACAGTCTAACACACCCACAAGCTTGAACTGGCATTGAAAACAACAACCCAGAGCCATTCTGCAATCAAACAGCTTTTATTGAACTCTTTGTATTGTACATTTGTCAACATCTGTGCAATAAGCACAGCTCATAGTGGTGATTTCTCCCAGCTCCTTGAAGCATGAGGAATCTTCCCTTTCCCTTAGTTGACACTACACAGTAAGAAAAGCTGTTGGATGACAGGGGACAATGTCAGGAAACTTCTGACAGTGAGCCTTGTGTGAGATTTATAGCAAACAGAAGTTTTCAGAAATGAGCTTAGTGGGCAGATGAGATTGGTCTGGCTGCTCAGAGGAACCCCTGCTAGCCAGAGTTCTGGAGTCAGCCACAGCTTGTACAAGAAACGGGAAATAACATTGGACATGACAACGAGAAAATGAACCTTAAGTCATTGCCTGGTAACTGTTTGCAAAATATTGTACAGATTTTACTAAATAGCTGTCTTCGGGTGAGAAAATAAAAAGTATTTCTGCAGAGCCAACATTAGGACTGAGAATCTCCTACAGTGACAAACAAATACAGCATAAATTGTTGATAAAAATATCCCTGTGCAAAATAGTTTTCAGGTTTAGTCAGTGCTTGCAAAAGCAGCAAAGGTAAACAGAAGATGCAGGCACTCACTTCAGAAAAAAAAATACAGTTCTGTTCAGGCTCTGGCCTTCAGTTTCAGGTAAAAGACTGAACAAACTGCAGTGTCTTTCTTGGTCTTCAGAGCATTTGAAACAAAGACAAGCCCAGCTTTAATCAGCCCTACCACAACTAACCAGGACCAGGCCAGCAATGAGGTTCTCACACATGCAAGAAAGCATCACATTTAGAAGCTTTTAGAGGAACTCCAGCCCTGCTGGATTCCCTGTCCCCTTCTCTTTGCTGCCTTCACCCCTGCCATGGGAAAGAGCTCTGGAAAGTTTTTCAGCTGTGCAGCAACTCCATTTATTTACCCAGCTCCTCTGGTCTCACCGTGCTGCTGCTGTGGATAAGAAAAGCCTTCTCCTCCCTGTGCCACTGCAGAGAGGAGACAGCTCCTGTTCTTAGCAAACCCCAGGGGAGCAGCTGAATTCTGGGGATCCTTTGGCTTACTTGGGATGCTTTAGATTCCCATCCCGTGTTCCCCACCATTTCTAACCACCCCCTGTGCCTCAGACCACAATACTGCCAGTTTTCATGGCACTACGGGGATTAATGTATGAACAGTGAAGCAGAAAAACAGATTCAGACTTTTACACTTCTTTATAACTGACTAATTTGCTGCCCCACATTTAACTCCCCCCTTGTGCTGTTCTGAAAAGCAGCTTTGGGAACCTCCTCCTGCCATTCTCATGTTTCTTGCTGAATTCAGTCAGGTCAGGACATGGAGCTTTGACAAGGGAAAAGGACAAACCTCAGCTACTCAAGCACCTCCCTCCCTGCTGCTGTCAGCAAAGGTCAGATGGAAAATGGGGAAAAAAACCCATCAGATAAAAGTCAGTATAAGTTTTAGCACCTAGCAGCAGTGACAACTACAACTGCAGAAAGGAATTCACCACCCTTTAGAAACTTTCAGTTACTACTGAAGTTGTACATTTTCAGATTTATAGTAGTTTTTTTCCCCAGAGCCTTGGGGAAAAATTGTCTTAAATCTTAAAGTAGTGTGTGAATTTAATGGCAAACCACATTTTAAGGTAGGGATGGGTCACTTGTCTTCAGCAACAGCCCTAATCTGAAGGGGCAGCCAATGCAGGGCTTTTCTCCTGGAATGAGGCACTACAGGGTAAGAGTACCTGAACAAGACTTGGAAAAGTTCACATCTCCTGACAGAATATCTTTTACTCTCCTAAAACAGGCACAAAAAAAGGCACTCTGAGATAAATAAGAGGGTGAGGAGGGAAGAGGAAGGTAACAGATGAAACAGCATAATTTAAAAATATCTTTGGGCAAGATGCTTCATCTTAACTTTTAAATATTCTCTTACTTGTGCTTACTTATCAGGACACCATTGGGGAAAAAAAATAGGTCTGTCATGGCAGGGAAAGCTGGTGCACTGTGTAAAACAGTGCCACTGCTTGTTGTTTGTCACTTCACTGCCATGCTTCTAACTTAAACCAGCTTTTCCTCAGAGCAGAGCAGAGCAAGCCTCAGCTTCAGCCCTGAGGATTTTTTCTTGTTTTACAATGATGCCACCAAAAGGGAAACCCTCCTTTTTTTCTCCCCACGCCCCAGTCCCAATTTTGCCTCCACACAGGTAATATCTAACTTAACACCCTTAAATAGGAGGGGGAAGAAAAATCCAGAACTTTCCAGAGCTCTCTTGGGCCTCTGCTTCAGTAACTCTTTATTTCAACACATTTTATGATTCTGAAACAACATTTTGGAAAGCCAGCCTTTAGACATAACGAGTAAGGAACAAACCAGTTAATTTAGGCAGCATTTTTTACACATACATATATATAGATGTATATATATAGGTAAAAAAATAAATTGTCTTGATAAGAAATATTGGTTAGCCTGATTAAGAAACAAGTCCCAGAAGCTGGGCAATACAGCAAGACACATTGGTGGGATAGCTGACACTAGGATAGCTAACTGCTTATTTTCAGAATTAAAAAACAAAAAAACAAAATTAAAAAAAAAAACAAAAACCAAAAAACCCCAACAAAAAAACCCCAAAAACATTCTACTTAAGACATAAAGATGATTCTTTGTTAGAGGTTGCAGAATGTTGAGGAGGCTCCAGGTTGCTGCTTGGCTTCAGTTGGATTTCCTCTCGCGCTCGCGTGCGGTCACGAAGTTCAGGAGGTCGATGGCTGTCACGATGCCAAACACCATCTGCCGCTTGCTGGAGGAGCCATCCGAGTGATCTGCACAGAAAAAAAGGGAGTTCTGGCTCCAGGAGGAACAAACACACCCCCTTCTCCTTGGTTTTAGTGGCAGTGTTTGTAAAATCGGGTGCTGAGCCACCCCAGCTCCACAAGCCTGGGTTGGGTTGATCCTGGCACAAAAGGCACCTTGGCCAAGAGTCACAGAGCAATGACAAGGATTTTCAGCTCAGGAAAGCTCCTCATCAAAAGGGACACTGAAACTTTATGGAAGGAAGGATAAGGAGGCAGTGGATTTATTTTTCTTGACACAAAAATTCCAACCAGGCCCTCTTGTTATGAAGTGTATTTTCCTCAAGCATTAGTTACTCGAAACAGCTGCAAATGGCATTACCCCACTGGAACCAGGGGCCACTTGAATGGCCCAATGGAACCACATTTTGAGGAGGAAATGTGACACAACCACCTTCCTCCATCCCTGTCAAGCACAGAATAAAAACCACAATACCCCATTTATATCAAAAAAACATACTAACCATTTTGTCTTTGCTGCACTGACAGCACAGGTTCAAGTGATTTTCTCATTGTGAGCCTAAGCCTTGACCTGGGAACCAAGTGGTCACACAACCTCTGACCCTTTATCAATTGTTTAAATTCCAGTTCCTAAAGTCTGCATGTACTGAGATATTTAGTTTACTTCTCTACTCAGTTTTTTCAGTCAGCTGGACTGTCCTGGGCTTTTTTTTTTAATCAATCTCTATTTCACTGCAAGCTTCCAGTGAGATTCCAGGTTTACAAATGGTCAGCTCAGAGCCGAGAGCACATCTTTATGGAGATTATCAGGAACAACCCCAAATTTGATGGCTTTTCTTTTTCTAGTTATTACTGAGAAGCTGAAGATAAATTTATGTGGCACGACTTAATATTGTTTTGAGTCTTATTTCTCAGTGTTTGTAACTTTGCAAAGCTGTCTGCTATTAGGAAGATTAAACAGGACAAAGTATTTTTCACATATAAGAGTGATAAACCTCAGATTTGAAGATTTATTTAGTCTTACTACTCCTAGAATGGTTTGGGTTGGAAAGGACCTTAAAATCATCTTTTTCCACCCTTGCCACAGGCAGGGGCCCCTTCCACTACACCAGGTTGCTCCAAGCCATGTCCAGCCTGGCCTTGAACACCTCCAGGATGGAAATTAGGCTTAGTAGCACAAATTTAGACACAGAATGAGGACTTTGCTTCTTCAGAGCTCATTTCACACACTCACACTCTCACTTGCTCCTTGTTACCACTCAAAGATTTGCTCTCATGAGTTGCAGTACTTCGTACTCACATTGAATTTGCTCATGAACCACCAGAGCAAAGTGGTCTATTTCCAGGATGTGAGAGAGTTTCCCCAAGTTGTCTTTCAGGTTAATCTGAGGAGAGAGTTACAGAACTTGAATAAAGCAGTCCTTTCTATGTTTAGCAGTCAGTAATACCCATACACTTCGTACAGAACTAAAATCAATACATCAGCATTTGTGTACTGCTCCCACCTGAAGCACCAGAAAACACCAACAAATCAAGGCCAACTTAAAAGCTCAGTTTTCTTTGTTTCTAATTTCCAAAAAAAACACTAAGCACAAGATGAAGTTATTCCTCCTGGTTCTGTAAACATAATGAATTTAATGAAGATCTGAAAAGTGCTAATAATCAAAGAAGGTCAAGTATTTCATGTGTCTCAGCAAAAGAAGTGACCATAAAAGACTTTCTATTTGGTGATTTTATTCTAAAAAGACTGGAAAAGTGAACTAATCATGCTGTAAATCATTATGGAAGTGAATATGATCTGCAAAAAGAAAAGCCCAAACAAGCCAAAAACAAAACAAAGATTACTCAGCTAAAACAGGATGCAGGTGCAAATCAAGGAACAGAGATTTAATAATTAATTTTCTTTGTGAAGCTCAACTTTGCTAAGACTGAACAAGAAAGCACCCTGTGTCAACTCTGAAAAAAATACAGATATTTCCAAAACACTTCAGCAATCACCTGCTGCAGTCGTTTTAAAAAATCCCTAAAACTGTTCAAACATGAGTTAACAGATGAAGCAGCAGCTCCATTAACCAGGTGAACTCTCCCCAGCACCCACCATCTGACATCCTCTTATTAAAGGAATCCACAGCAAGAAAGAGTCCTGCACTGCAAATTCAAAAAGCCTCTCTGTGAGAAATAAATGCCCCAGCACGAACATTTGGGCTGCACTGGAACACAGAGCTCTGCCTCTGACTGGGAGTCAGAGGATTCCAGCAGCCTCTGTATAAGACACCTGCTATAGTCCAGACTGAAGAACCAATCCTTAAATTTGGGGGCCAGGAAAGGAATGAGGTGAGAAAAATGCCACATGGAGTCACCCATCAGTCCCAAATGTGCCTTCAGGGACTGGGCAGGCTACAAATAACCAGGACAAGCAGCCCCTTGGCAGCACTGGGACAACCATGAAGGCATAAACATGCTTAGAGATGCTCAGTGGAAATTTAACAGAACCCCCACAGAGTTTTCACCTGCTTGTTCAAGGTCCTTAAAACATTTTGCCCATGGGTTTTCCCACATTTAGGCTTTGTTTTTAAGCTTACTAGGTCTCTAGGCAGTGAGTACTACACTACACATGAGTGGGAACCCAAACCACTGGAACTAACATCTGACTCTACAAGGATGGCTCCTCCCTCCACTAGCACTTGTTTGGGTTGGCAAATTATCCTGTGACTGGTGTTTCAAATCCCCAGAGCACAACTGTACCTTCAAAAAAGCTCTAAACCTTCTGCTTCCATTCTAAGAGATTATCATAAAGTAATTGAGGTGATCCTACCAAAGCAGGCTGCCCATGTTATAAAATCACAGAATGGTTTGGGGTGGAAGGGATCTTTAGGATCATTCAGCTCCTCTGCCATGGGCAGGGACACCTCCCACTATCCCAGGTGCTCAGAGCTCCATCCAGCCTGGCCTTCAACAATTCCAGGGATGGGAAATCCACCACCTCTCTGAGCAACCTAAAAAAGACCCATCTTTCCAAAATGTCCCTCTGCCCTGGTTTGCAGGCTAAGCCTCTTATTTGATGCAGGCTGCGGTATTCCATGTAGGATATCAGAAGTGATTTTGGTGACATAGATTATTCATTTTCCAAATTTCACTCATAAACAAGCCAAATCAGCTTGACTAAAGTGGCAAGGAAAGCAAAATCCACAATACTTCTGAGATTATGTGCATTCCACCATGTTTTTCCCATCAATTCAAATGGAAAATAACTATTTTTAGTTAACATGTCAGCAGTACCACAGCTTGTGTCACTCCCCTTCCAGCCTCCACCAAAAAAATACCAGAAATAAAGGGAAAAGAAATGGTTAAGCTGTTCTTTACTAAAGAAGCTTTCAAGCTGCCCATGGCAAGAGCCACAGCCTCAGAAATGCAGAGAATTGCCTGATGCAGCCAACACCAGAGCAGCCCCAGAAACCACCCCACACCACCAGCCCCAGAAACTCCTGAGGTGCCCAAGTGAGGGAGAACACGAACTAGGCAGTTGTGTTACGCACCACATTTCCCCATGATGCTGGATTATCTGTCTGGGGAGGAAAAAATAAATTTATATTTGTCCATAAAGAACCAGCACCCATGGGTGGCTCACAGGTTGAGCAGAAGGATTAAACACACTTCCAGAACACAGCACTCAATCTACTCTGGGACAGTGTCAGAATTTAAATCCTGGTGAAAACTAAGTGAAGCATTTTTAAAAGAAAATTCTGTGCTCAGAACAGCTGCTAGCATGGCCCCAGGTGAACCTCACCCAGCCTGTGCACTGTCAGCACACCTATTCCAGCACTTGAAACCAGAGAACCAGGAGCTGCAGAATACACCTGCCCACCTGTTGAAATTGCTTGTAGATTACTTTTCTGACTTCATCAGAAGGCTTAACTTTTCCAACAAGCAGTGAGGAAAGCATGTTACCCAGAGTAACCATGCCCAGAATCACCCTGGGGAAGGAGAGACAAGACAGGGATAAACAACACAACAGCCTCAGGTGTTCCTGTAGAAAAAAGCATCCACTCTCAGCCAGCTTGGAGGAGTCAGGTCAGCTACTTCAGGGTAATAATGCAGCATTACTGATGGTACACTTGGATTCTGTGTGTCTGCAGGAGACAGTACAGCTCTCAGAGGTTCTGGGGCCTCACACACCAGGTGCTGCAGGTCCTTCTGAGCACCAGGACCTTTTCATCTCTGCTCCTTGCAACTGGGGAGAGCTACCTGCAATCTCAGAGAGCTTTTGGAAAGCACAGACTGCTCCGTTTTTTTCACACTCTCCTCTGTCCTTTTGAAAGGTGTGACAGCCAGAGACAAGCTCACCCCAGTTTGGCTCATTTTCCTTCTCCCTGTGAGGATCTACCACAATTCACCCCTCAGGTCAGCACAACTGAGCAACTCCTCAAGACTCAGCCTGTCTGCAGGAGGGCTGAAGGGTGATAAGGCACATTTCAGCTTGCTGAGGACACCCTGGTTTATGGGGGTCACTGCAGCACTGCACTGTAACACCGTGTGCTGAAGGAAGCTCTGACAGACATGGGCACATTTGGGGTTGGTTGTTTTAAACAGGAATTTTTGCTTTCTTTAAGTTCAGCTGGTATTATTAGAAGAAAATAAATTATCCTGCAGAGACATAATGAGTAAGTATATCATAATAATCATTAGAATCATGTGGAGGGCAGGACAATCCTGGCATGAAAACACTAAGTGTGTTCAAGGGAACATCTCTGAACTGCGCTAATAAAAGAAAAAGGATGGGTGAGAGGACACCTTTCCATTCTTTCCACCTTCCAGTACTTCCAGCAAGCATTTAAGAGACACCCCTGAGGACCTGGTGAGGGAAGTGATACATATGGATGAAGAGTGATATATGTGGACATACCCAGATTCATCAACAACCGGTACCTGGTCGAATCCCTTCTCCCGGAGAATTTCCACAGTCTTTGCACAGGTAACAGTTGGAAGCACAGTCAGGGGGGCAGAGAGGCTCAGCTCCTGAATACTGATGTTCCACCACCTGGGGATGGAGTGAAAAACAAACCCATGCAAGTCTCATGGAGAACACAGAGCCAACCCCTCCAGCACCACAGGAATGACAAAAGGCTGCAAGGCAGAGTCAGGATTCAGCCAGAGTCAACAAAGCTTCAGGGCTCTCAGGGGTTATTCCCAACATCAAAAGGTCTCTGAAGTGTGAGAAGGCTTGAAAATCAAACCCCTTTCCTCATTTCACCTGCTCTCTATGATTACAGACAGTCTGCCCAGTTTCATTATTTACCTCTCACAGAGAAAATTTTGCACTCCTACTCAAAGACCTATCTGTATTTACCATCATTATAAGCAACAATTTAGGGAAGATTCCCTTCTAGCTATGTAGACTTGCAGTGCTTTGCACTCAATAACTCTGATTTTGGAAGGATTCTTTGCATATTTTCTTTTTTTAATTCCAGATATAATGCTTTTCATTAAAAAAAACCCAGTCATTAAGTACCAAATTTTCTGCTGCTGCCATACAACTCAAGGAAGGATATGAACTAATTAAAATAGATTTGATTAACAGCTGCAATTATACATCAAGACAATAGCATGGAAGATGCTAAATCAAAGGAGAAGTGTGAATTGAAATGAGCTTTAAATTAGCAGCTGCCATAAACTCAGTTGAATAGATTGATGGAAATCCAAATGGATCTGACTGGCTTACCAGGGTTTGTTGCCAAGGTCTTCTTCTTTCATGAACCCTTTCTGAATCATCCATTTGTCACTCAAGAACTTGGACCTGCAGAGCACCAGAAGTGAAAAGCTCATTAGCAAGGGTTGAGTGTCTGACAACAAAAAGAGACAACTGCTCACAGCTCACTGCCACCAACAGATAAAGTGTAAATGGAAAGAGGACATCATTTGCCATCCAAGCTTAGCAGCCAGGGATATGGAGAAGAAATACTCATGGGGACAAAAAGGAATCCCACAGGAAACAAAGCTCCAACTGCATGAGCCCCTTGCAATATCAAGTGACACAGCCTGGAATGGAGATGTGTCTTGTCTGCAGCTGTTTGTCCAATATTGAGCTGGATGCAACATGGGCGAGGAAACTCAGCTAAAAATACCATGTTTTGGGCTATGTTTCAATGTGATTGGAGAAAAAACTTCTCAGCTCAGCTGAAAGCCCTGACATTTCTGCCTGCAAACCCACCCTGAGCGTGGCTGCTGCTGCTGCAGGACTGGGTCCTGCTGTGGGCACAGGAACCCTTCCAGGAATGGGATAACCAGTGATCCCCCACAAATAACACAGTGAAAGCAAGGTGTTTGCTGTGAGAAATACTAACCAGTGATTATCTACTGAAATCAGAGCTCAGATTTAAAGGGGAAAAGATCCTCCCTGCTCCATGCCAGACCCCTTTTAGACAGCTCAGAATTTCTGCCCCAAAGACATTCCTTGCAGGGATAAATGGGTGTTCCAAAGTCTGAGGGACTCCCTGACCCCTCTCCCAGAGAGAAAAGCAGCAGGTTCCTTACATGTAGTTCCTGATGGAGTCAGGGCAGATGACAACACAGCGCTGACCCTCCTTCAGCTCCTTGGCTGCCTTCACAGCCACAGACATGGCACTGCCCGAGCTGCCCCCTGCCAGAACACACAGCGGGGACAACACCGTCAAACCCCCACGTGAAGCCATCAAAAGGGAGGAGGAGAAAGAACAGAGGAGCCCGGAGCCAGGAGGACAAGATCTGAAGTGGAAAGAGGTCTCTGATCTGTACAAGGCTTCAGCCTCCCCCAGACTGCTCAGAGAAGGGCAGAGGGCTCCTGCCTGCTCTTACCACACAGCAGCCCCTCCTCGCGGATCATCATCCGTGCCACGGCAAATGACTCCTCATCATTGCTCTTGTACCACTGGTCCACTGTCTGGGGAGGGGCAGGAGACAGAAACAAGGCTCTGTTTAACTCAGGAGGGACAGGGGAACTGCACAAGTGTGCATTCAGCCCTGGCTCTTTGAGGGAACAGCTGCCCTACTGAGCCTGGGGTTTCCATCCTCCTCCAGATGCCAAGTGGGGTTTTTTTGCAGAGGTTAGATGATCACATCAGCACAAAAGGCTCCTCACTGGAACCCTTCTGTGAGAGCAGGCTGCTGTGAGTCAGCCTCAGGCAGCATCAGCTTCCTCCCCTCTTGGAAGGCTTCCCAGGCACACAGGCTCTGCTCGGGACAGTCTTAACCACTTTGTCCAGGAGGGGCTGGGATGCTCTGCTGGAAGGTTTGGGTTTGTTGTTTTATGGGGGTTTTTTTGTGATTGGTAAGTTGGTGTTCTTTGTTATGTCTTGTTATTGTAATTGTTATTGTGTGTGTTTCATGACTGATTTTTCCTTATGTGTTTTGGGACTTTTTTAAGCATAAAAGTAAGTGTGTGTTGTAGGAAAATGTTATCACAGCATTTTGACCTGGCATTGCAAAAGTAATGTGGCCAGTTCAGAAGCCTTTCAAGGGCTGTTTATGCTGATGGAAAGAACAGGAATAGTTCTGTCTGCTAACCCTTCCATTTCAGCTCAATACTTCCCCAGGTTTTCCTCTGCCTTTAAACTCAGTCCTGCATCCCAGCAGAGGGCAAAGGGCAGTAAACCAAGCAGTGAGACTTACAGATCTATCCAACACTGTGGGGACAAAATCATATCCAATTCCTTCCACTTCATACATTGTCTTGTCAGTCTTGTTCAGTTCTTCTGGTTCAGCAAGGATGGAGCCTTCAGGATCCACACCTATAATCTGGAGGAGCAGTTTCCACTCAGGCCACCAAGACACACAGCTTTGGAGAGCAGAGCCCCTGTGAGCACTGGCTCTGTCACAGCTGCTGGTGGCACACAGCCAACCTGTTCTCCTGTTCATTTCCTCCTGGCAACATTCACCTCCCCTGGGAGCAAAAGGCTTTGCTGCTTCTGGCCCCCTTGGAGACCCATCCCACCTTCTCAGACTGATGGCACCACTTGTTCTACACAAGGGTTTTGCTTGGTTTAAACAGAAAACAGGGTTTCCCTGAGACAAGGCTGTCCTCATTCACATGCCAGGCATCATTACAGACAACTCATTTTGTGCCAAGTGCACGCAGATCACTTTTATTTTCTTTACCACTCCCTGCCCGTGTAGGAAAATTCTCAAGATTGAAGCAGGATCCCAAGTTCTGTGAGGAAATCTCACACATCACACAGGAAAACACACAGGCTGGTGTGGGCAGAGACAATTCCACTGGGCAAAACCCCGGAGCAGCTGGGGAAGGCACAGCCAGGGAGGAAACCCAAGGCTGCTGAGCACAGCAGAAGAAGGAACTTCCAGAGAAGAAAGTTTCCCAGGCACCCCATGGAGGGATCTGAGGGCTCATCTGCTGAGCCAAACCTGAACTCTGGTCACCAGTGGGACCAGAGCACAATGATTTCAAACACTGAAACCCTCTCTGCACCCAGACTTACCTTTGAACTGAGGAGCTCCCACAGAGAGCCAGGGCAGGCTTACAAGGAGCGGGATGTGCCAAGGGAAGCAGTTTGAGGAGACACTACAGACAAAAGCAGTGGGCTTCTCACTTACTTTGCACCCTGGACACTTCTCCTTCAGCTTCCTGGAGATGCCAGTGATGGTACCTCCTGTGCCAGCTGTGGCCACCACCATGTCCACCTTTCCTGTTTAAGGGTGTGGGAGAGAAGTGTGAGATCTCCAGCAGGAGGATGGATTGAGAGCCCACTTACACCTAAGGAGGGACTTTCCTCAACAAAAAGGCACGAAGGGGCTGAAAAGGGCAGGGTAGGACTCTTTGCTTCCCAGGAGCCGTGGTGAGACCTGCCTTGAAACTGCATTGCTCAATCATAATTTTCTCCAACGAGGGTGTTGAAATGTCCACCAGAGGCCTGGCAAGGCACCAATCTGTGGCACTTTGGACACAGCTGGATGTGGCCCACAGAGCTGATAGCTGCAGTTTTCCTGTTCCTGTCTGCTGATACAGACAAGTCATTCTCTAAGTTAAACTGAGCAGCCCATTATGTTTGTTAATTAACTGAGTGAGTGCCAAGAACATGGGCTAGGCATCCCTGGGGAGAAATGTTAACACAACTACTCCCTCATTTTCATGTGAAGAAGACTGTTTTGGCCACTAGCACTCAGAGTGAGTGTGGATATGATAGTTCATCCCTGTGTCACCACTTACAGCTTCTCTGGTGCATCCACATGACAGCTTTATTAATGGGAAAAAAAAAAAAAAAAGATTTTTAAAAGGTCACCAATTCACACACAAAATCAATTGCTTAGCAGCCAAGAGAATTATACCCCACTAAGCAGGGGCAACTGAACAATGCCTGGGCTGTAAGGGGAAGTAAACAGAAACAAGAAGCCTAAATCTGGAACTCATCTGGATTCTCAGTTTGTGGGATAGCAGCTTGTAAAAGTGTACTCAGTTTAACTCAGAGTTTGTCACAGAAAGACAAGGCGAATCCTCTGAACAGCCAGAGTTTTAGGAAGGAGGAGAACCTTCCACGTGGTCTTCACCTTCCTGGAAATTAATTTAATTGCTGATTTTCTCATCAGAAGGTCCAATCAGAAACTGCCCTGTTTAATAAGGCAGGTCTGAAGCCCTCTTATGACTCCCTTCTGTGCCCTATGGAAATGCCCACGTGGCTGCAGTGTCACAGGGAATGTCTCCAGCAGCTCTCAGACCAGCCCTGAGCTGAGGAACGAGCCCAGCTCTGCTGCCACAGCACTGGGGAGAGCCCTGCAGAGCCAGAGGGTCCTGCTGCTGACAGTGTGACACAGAGCAGCTTGTGCTCCCGAGGACTCCTACATGAAGATGCTTCCAGTGTATGGGAGTATTTGCTCTGGGAATGCTAAAACCCTTATTTCTTTATTTGTGATCAAAGACCGACCCTATTCCATACCAGTCTACCTATGGGGCTCTTTTTTTTTTAAACATCTACTTTCTCCACCTGCTCGCAGGCAGAGAAGTCTAAAAACCAAATGGAAAAAAAACCCCATTACTATGACTACTGAAATATGGTTACTCTCTAACAACACACAGCACGTGTATGGGGTTTGCTTTACCAAAATCCATGCTTTTCTCATCTGAGGGCTCATTCTCCAAGCACATAAGAACAGGGTACTGCCAGGGGCTCTCTGAAGGGGTTTAGCAGTGGAGCAGACCTACCATCACACTGCTGCAGGATCTCCTCAGCTGTGGTGTCGTAGTGGGTCAGGGGGTTGCTGGCATTGCGGTACTAAATAGAAAGGCAGATCAGCCAAAAAAACAGATCAGAAGTACAAAAATCACATTTTGAGCGAGTTCAAAAACATTTCAAAAAGTCCCCAAACCCCACAGCACCTAAACACACTCTCTGCAGAATGCTTCACTGTGTATTATCTGGAACTAGGCCTCCTAAGTGACCTATTTAAGCACAGTCCTAAGGTGCCAGCACCCTCCCATGCCAAAATCAGTCCTAGCAACACGACCCCTGTGTCCATTCTTCCTCAAGGACTGCCAGCCCGGCGGAAATAGACACCCTAAGTGTTGTAGTTCTGGCAAACACCAGCTCATTGCTGCTCTCTAGTGACTGTGAAAACTTCCTTCCCTACAACGTGGTGACTGCTCAGCCCCAGCTCCAGATTTGGGGCATCTTCTCCTCCAGACACACAGTGAGAGTGTTGAACAGACAAGCCAGAACACCACAGAGCCTCCTCCATGCTACACCTGCACCTCTGACACCTTGGCTCTCACCTGGTCCAGGATGTGTGCATTGGGGATTTCATTCTTCAACCTCCAGGCCACTCCCACGTGAGATTCAGGAGAATCAAACCTGGCTGTAGTTGGGGTCCTCACAATCTCAGCACCCAGAGCTCTCAGAACATCCACCTGCAGCAAATAAAGGTGGTCACAAAGCCCCAAAATACCCTCAACAGGCTCCCTTCACACTCAGCCCCAAAGCCAGAATATTTGCAGGATATTCAAAGCTTCAGCACTGTCTTCTTTCACTGTCTGCTCAGCGAGGAACAGCTCACCTGGGGCACAGGTAACCACTTCAATGTGCCAGGCAAACCTCAGGCTGTCTTGGCATCTGTATTTAAAACAATTATGGGAGTTTTCAAAGTGGCAGTGCTGTGGGGATGGACCTTAAAGACATTTTCTATCCATGGCCAGCCAGGTTGGATTTCTCTGGCAACAGCACCTCAGCAGTTTTCCCTGGCCAAGAGCCTGCACCTTTGTTGCTGAAGCCCCAGCACTGATCTGCAGCAGGAGCTCTGCGGGTGCAAACATGTTTATCTGTAAATTCTTGAAAACAGAGGCAGCTCTGACCTTCTCCATGCTCATTTTCTCTGGCATGACGATGATGCAGCGGTAACCCTTCACTGCCGCCGCCAAGGCCAGCCCGATCCCTGCAAGCAAGCAGAGGCAAGCAGAGCACTCAGAGAGCAGCAGCAGAGCACAAAACCCACAGTGCCAGCCTTGGCACGCCCTGGCTTTCATCACATTTCCACCAGAGTGTCTCCAGAGGGGTGCCAAAGGGAAAGTTTCTGCCTGTCGGGTTTACAGGTGTTGATTCTTGTTTGAGGTTGACAGCCCAGAGGAAGTTTAGCCAAGGGTGGGGGAATTTGGCATGTGCAAACTGCTGGCTTTACCACATGCACATCACCTTCCTCCTGTCTCACCCACTTCACCTTCCCAGAATTAAATTGGGAAAGGAATGTGCTTTAAGCTGGAGGAGAGGAGAGGAATCACTTGGATTCTGCCAAAAGGTCTGTAGAGCCTCTATTGACTCACTCCTGCTTAAATCCCTATTTGCAATGTGCTGAAACAAAGTCCTGTCTAAAAATAAATTATTTAGATGCTGTCAGGTCACCTCTCTGCTGGACAGGCTGAGCTGATCAGGTTGGCTGAGAGGTGTGAGAGGTCAGGCTGCAGCTCCCCTGCTCCTCTGGGCACCAGCTCACCCTACACAGAGACTTGCCTGTTCACAGCTGGCTCTGGTTTTGTGTGGATTGCATAGGGGAGGAAAAAAAACCCACCCTAATAATCTTTAACTCTTCCTATAAGAGGAGCATAACTCACACCTCAAACAACTCAAGTAGTGTTTGATATATTGGGAAGGGAAAGTTTTCTCAGTATATTATAGATAAATATGGATGCCCAAATACACAAATAAATAAGACAGCAGCAGCTTCATTAAAGCCAAAGGCTGAAGAGAAGTCATCCAGAGCTTCCTTATGAAGAAAGGATTTTGAGACCTGAACTCTAATACTTTGTACTTTCTACCACTGACCTGGAAATGCAGCAAACATCAAAACAGGACTTTGGCTGAGGGAGAACTGGGATGCAGAGAGGATAAAAAATACAACACATTAGCTCTCACATTCAACAAACCCACTAGCCCTGAGCAGTAGAGAGCAAAAACCAGTTCTCTCAGGTTACTGTGTGCCCTGGTCTTTGCTCTTATGTGACCAAAAAAAAAAATCAGCTTTCTGAAGTAATTGTCCTGTATCTCCTGCAGTTCTGCCTTTTTGGATTCTGTGCAAGTAGAATCATTTATCAGGCACTGATCCAGAGAGAGGGATGTCATGGTAAGACCTTGGATACTGGAGGAATGCAACACACAAGGATATTTTCCACTCCAGGCCATTGTTCAGGCAGGAGGTACAGCCACACTCACTAAAGCTTCAGCTGCCCTGAATGCCCCCAGAATCCCCTGATCCCTCCCAGAGCAGCTGAGCCAACAGCAGCAGATGTGACCTCCCAGTTTTCTGCTGCAGGCTGGGGAGCTGGTCACAGATCAGCTCATCCCCTGCACTCACATCAGAACAAAATCTGCCTGCCCTGTGCCTGTCAGAAAGCAGCAGTGGGTGCAAGTCCAGGGAAGAATTTAGGAACAGGACCAGACACCCCTCCTGAGCACATCAGGCAGGAGGGCAGCTTCCAGCTCACCCCATGAACCTCCTCAGAGGAGACACTGTATTGGACATTTAACTATTTCTATTTAACAATATTGTGCATTTTATATTTGGCTCCAGGGGGAATATTCCAGGTGTTTTTGACTCCCCATGAGTAGAGCAGCTTAACATAATTACAACAACTTCGACACAGGAGCCCAGAGTTAACTCCAGGCTGCTCAGATCATCAGTGCTCTGCCTTGGCCCCTGACCTAAGGGGGCTGCTCCTTCCTCCAGCCCTCCAAGGGGGAAATGTGGACCCAGGTGGAACCTGCTGACAATCCAGGTGTGCAGGGGCTCTGTCAGGCAGTGCTGTAAGGATGCAGCTCATCTCCCATCTCCCCTGCACCAGCATGGAAAGGGCTGTCCCTCAAACCTGACAGAGGAACCATGGCACTTCCCCAGCAGAAAGAAGGGGAAGATCCAGATTCACACTGATGGCTCAAGTTTTATCTTTTCTATTTTTCAGATTCTGTGCTGCTTCAGTGTGCACTTCTGAGCTTCATATTATGGGATGCTGAGCTCTCTGCACAGAGCAGAGACAAAACAATTCCTGCTCCAGCTGGGCACCAAGGACAAATGATCCAAATCTCAGCCCAGGAGCACAAACAGCGTGGGCTGGAGAGAGAAAAACAAGCAGGGTGGGACTGCCTGGGCTAAAGCTGGAATGGGACAATGAACTCCAAGGTGCCAATGGAGCAGAACTGATCCCAGGGAGAGCCCCCGGGAGCGCTCGTGCATTTTGGGGCCATTTTGGTTCATCTTGGGTTCATTTCGAGACCATTTTGGTTCATCTTGGGTTCATTTTGGGGCCATTTTGGTTCATCTTGGGTGCAGCCCTGGCTGGGCTCTGGTGCTGCCCAAGGTGGATCCGTGGAGGCCTTTTAATAAATCCCTAACTTATTCTCTAGCTTGGTCTAGTCTCTATTCTAGGTCAGCTTTCACAAGGCGTCAACACCAATCTTATGGGTGCTTTTTCCCCGATAATTTCAGTCAGACTTGAATTCCTAAAGCCCCTTGTGAGTCTGGCCTAGCACCTCCTGTCTCTTATAGCAAAGAGGTTCTGCAAGTTAGCAGAACCCTTTCCCATCTGCTGTGGTCAGCACAGGACACTGCAGAACTGTTCCATGTGAGGTGGCAGAGGCACTGCTCCCTGCACCACGCAGGCAGGAAGATATTCCCTTTGCTCCCCGCACAGGCTGCGACCTCAAACCTGCCTCTTCCAGAAAAAGCACCACAGCATTTCCCCCACCCTTTCCTCAGTCTCTCCATGCCCTACCTGTGTTCCCAGAGGTTGGCTCTATGATGGTGTCCCCAGGCTTCAGGATCCCAGCTCTCTCAGCATCCTCCACCATCCTGAGGCTGATGCGGTCCTTCACGCTGCCCCCGGCGTTGAAGAACTCACACTTGGCCACTGCAAACACACAACAAGGCATTTCAGAGCTCATCCACTCCACCCCCTGTCCTGACCAGAGACACCTTCCACCAGAACAGGTTGCCCCAAGCCTCATCCAACCTGGCCTTAAAACCCCATCTTGCCCCTTTCCCCTCGCCTTCTTTGCCCTTTCTCTTTTCCTGGTGAGTTCTCCAGCCAAAAAAAGTTCTGATCAAGCTGAAGTTTCTCTCCAGAACTCCCAGCATTAATCCCTTCATACCCTTCAGGACTCTGATCAGAGTCAGTATCTACAGTAGGGCTGGGTTTAAAAAGCCAACCAAACCAAAAAAAAAGAAAAAATTCACTGACAGTTTCACCCCTTTAATCATTTTCAGTGATCAGGGCTGCCTTTTGCACACACTGATGAATATTCTGAATAGAAGCAGTCAAAAACTTCAAACAATTTCTTTAAATTCAAAAAATTATTTTCTACTAAGAACATTTAGCGTTTTCTACAGAAATGGAAAAGCTGCAGGAATTGTTCTCATGAGGTACAAACCCAAAGATGTTTTAGATCTCCAGATCCTAAAACCCAGAAAATTTGCCAAGGAAAACCAGGAATTTTTCTTCACCATTCCCTGCCAATTACCTGCACTCCTGTGGCCAGGTTATATGGCACTACTAACCCCATCCACCCCAGTTTGTGAAACAGTCTTTGTAGTTTGTTCTCTGCCTGCAGCAACTCACAGAGTTCACATTTGAGCCCAAAGTGCTTCCCAATCTTGTTGATCCGCACCAAAGGTGTGTTGCCAACTTTATTCAGGATGCTTGGCAGGATCTTCAGAGGCTCTGGCCTGGTACAGACACAAACAAAGTCAGTGAATTCACAGAAGGGTCACACAACAACCACACAGCATTTATTGCTTTTTATTTCTCCTTTATCAGGCTGGTTATTTTAGCTATTTTAGTTCAAAGGAATATCCATTGGATACAAACTCACAACATCAAGTCCTTGATCCAAAACATGGATTAATCAGACCTGGATTTGTGATGAAAATCAGCATATAAGGTAACACTTACAGGGTGGTATGATGATGGGGGGAGGCAGAGAGGGGCTTCCCAAGCTTCCAGGTGCATTTGCTGGGTGTATCAGGGCGGATCCACTGCCTCTCCTTCTCGTTAGCCTTGCAGTTCTCAGTGTCCACCCCACCAGAGACTAAATATTTGGCAGGTGCAAGAGGGCATGAGTTTGTATCTGGCTTCTTCTGGGAAGGAAGAGTAGGGATTCCATTCTTGGGGGAGGGAGAAAAAAAGAGAAAAGAAAAAAAAGGGAAAAAAAAAAAAAAACAAACAGAGTTGATATTTCCATGGTCTGTGAGGATGGGGAAGTGTTTCAGCATCATCTTGATTTGCCAAATCCTTATCGCCAACACGAGAACCTGCGCTGCAAGTTTGGGAGCAAAAGCTCACCACAGTGCTCTACACAAAGATAATTTAAACACACATGTGCTCACTGTAACCAGCCTCCACAGACACAAAAAAAAAAACCAAAAACCAAAAACAGGACTATTCTCATGGGAGGCACCTCTCCCACACCAAAAGCTCTCAGAAATAAAACCTCCCCATTCCAAGCAGACTGGAATAGAGCAAAACTGCTTGGTGACTAATCAGAAAACTCTGCCAGAAGACTCTGCATGGCTGAGTGGTCACAGAGAACTCTTCCAGAAAGGTTTCACCAGCACCTTCCTCCACAGCAGCTCAGAGCCCCATCCAACCTGGCCTTGAAGCCTCTTGCTCTTGGCCCTTCCCTGGAAAGTTCTCAGCCACAGAGCTTCTGGTAAAAATGTAAGTTTTTCCCCTTGTTCAGCCTGTATTTCCACTCCAGTACTCCCAGTATTAATACCTTAAATTTATTTCATTTTTTATTTATTAATCCCTTGAATGGGGTTGTGGGGTGGGGGGGAAATCCAAAACTTTCCAGGGCTCTCTTGGGCCTCTGCTTCAGTAACTATTTCAACACATTTTACGATTCTGAACCAACATTTTGGACAGCCAGCCTTTAGACATAATGAGTAAGGAATGAAGCAGTTAATTTAGGCAGTTATTTTTTACACACACACACACACACACATATATATATGTAATAAATAAATTGTCTTGATAAGAAATATTGCTTAGCCTGATTAAGAAACAAAGACACACTGGCTGGACAGCTGAAAGCAGGATAGCTAACTGCTCTCCCAAATCCTGGTGATGGAAAGATGAGCCAAGAGTATTCCACAAAGAGCTGTAAGTACCTTAGAGACAGGAACAGGTCTTTCTGATACAACCTTCTCCATGGTTTTTGCTGGGGGTGGTGGCACAGAAAACGGGATTTTCTTCAAGAGAATGACTTCTGTGGGTCACAAGACTGGAATCCTCTTCAAAGCTGCAGATCATACAAGTTGGAAAAAAAAAAACAAAACCAAACTATCAGGAAACACTCTCACAGGGGTAACACACACATCTTTTTCATAGGAAAAAAAAAAAAAAGCTGCAAAACAAAGTGAAGATGACTTCTGTAAACAGGATTAAAAAGAAATCATGCAGCAGAGGTATTGTGCAGGATTGATGGAGGGTGCCCTGACCCTGTCCCTCCTGCATTACTTAATCTTCCCTCTGCCCTGTCCTCCACAGTAAGCACAAAACATCTTTTATCAGACCTTCTGCAACTCCAGGAGATTGAAAGCCACAAAAAGTAATAGGAAATACTTCAGTTCACAGGAAATACAGTCCTGGAGACACAAAGGGTGAAAGGGCTTCATGGTACAGAAAAACCTGTACACAACTTTGGAAAAGGCTTTAGCCAGGAACAGAGGCCTCTCCACCCTCGAGGAGAGCAAAATCTCACAAGTTCCTACCCAAAATTAATTAGTGTTGTGTGCACAGTGATGCTGCAAAAAACACACACAGCAAACACTCCACACTCATAGCAGCTGTTAGCTTCAGAAATTAGTAAACACAAAATAGAAAGTTCATTTCTCCTACCAGCTGTTCACAGAGCCTGGTTGCTTCCTATCAATTAAAGACAAAAATCTGGCTGAAATCTTGGAAAACATGAGGTTTTTTTCCCCCTAATATTTGTTTTCTTCATCACTGTTTTGCAGGAAGTTCAGCTCTTTCCATTACTGAATTGTGCTGGAAAGGGTCCTTGGCCTCATCCTCCTGGCAGATGCACACAAAACACATATTTAAGATCTCACAGAGTTGATGGCCTGGTGAGAAAACTGGAAAAAAAATCTGGATCACAGCATCAGTGACCTTTAGTATTTGATCCTGCAAGTTAACACGGGCCACTGACCACTGCTGCCTCAGGCACTCCAATGTCCTTCCTGCAGGCTGGCTTGAAGAAAATGCCTAAAACATTTAAACTGCTCTCCTCTAGGGAAAAAAAAAAACCTCTGAAAATATCAACTTTACACACTAAGACTTGAAATAATTTTCCTTCAAGACAAAAAGATTTCCATGCCAGCAAAATGATATAATTCTATTTAATCAGGTTAATATTAATACACATATATGTACATATATATACATATATAATAAATATAATCTATTTAATACATGCCCAAGAGCCAAGATGGATTATAACCTGTCACAGATGGACTATAATCTGTCACAGACCACTGACCAGGGTTAGAATGAGAGACACTAACCTAAAAAAGCAAAAATTCCATAAATACACAAAATCTAGCACCAACCTGTCTTTGCTACCAGAAATCAGCTTACTTCCAGTTCCAGAGAGAAACCCAGTCCTCATTTCTCTTTCTAGGATATATTCTGGTTCACAGTCCAGAGTATCAGTGGTTTTGTTTAGGCTTTTTTATTGGTTTTTTTTTGGCTTTTTGTTGGTTTTTTTTTTGGTTTGTTTGTTTTTTGGGTTTTTTTTTTTTTTGGTAAAGGAGAAGTACAGGAGGAGTTCCAAGGTTTCCAATGAGGCACAGGCTCCCTCAGACAGCTGGCATCAAACACTGGACACAGACAGTGACTGCCTGTGCCACAGGTAACACTGACAATATTGACAAAGTCCAGCTAAAAAGGGGACCTTGCTGCCAAAGGATCAAATCTTTTCAAAACACACGACAAAAGCAGCACGAGTTTAGGAACAGGAAAGTGAAAATTTTGTTCCACTTCCAAGTTATCATAAAATAAGAGCACAAAACCTTCAAGAGCTTCAAAACAGCAGCTCTCAGTGTCTTTCAGGAGTGTACAAAAAATGAGATGAAAGAGGGAGAAATTCATTGCAGTAAAAAAAAAAATAATTTAAGAGGTTTACATGATTTGTTCTTTGTATTGACGGCAGGACAGAAATTAATGTGGCTCTCAAAAAGCTGCTTTTTGGAGCATTCCCTCTGGACTGGGCAAGGCAACAACACCTCATTTTCTTTATTGTAAGGCAAAAATTTAATAATTTACTAAGAGCAACTCTCATTAATTATTGAACAGCAGAAACTGAGAAAAAGCTGTATTTATTGCCCTCAAATAAACTGTGAGATTCTCTCACGTTTTCATAATGGCAATACTTGATGTTTGAGCAAAGTTTCAATAATGGGGCTTCAACTGCACAAAAACGAGGAGAGAGACAAAAAGCTAAAAATCCTGTCACCAAACACTAACCTTAAGCAACATAATTCATTGCTTACAGCCTTAGGTGACACAACCTCAGCAAAATGGGGTCAGACATGGTCTAGGACATCCAAATCCCCACCCTGATCCTCCCTACAGGCCCAAACCAGCATTTTTTTCTGGGGAAGCAGGACAGGAGGATGGCAACTCTGCTTCTGTAGCTGCAGCTGAACACTGCTCAGCAGAGCCAAGGGAGAAAAGCTGCAGGAAGAGCTGCCCATCTTCAGGGAAAAAAATTCTGTCAGCCTGAATTTAATTTTCCTATAAAGGGGAACACTCCCATAACTAGTTGGGGGTGTGGGTAGAGTCTAACTAGAAAAGCCTGAGTAGCTCCTGCCATTGTATCTGCAGATCACAGAAGGCAAACAAAAATTAATTAGTCAGAAAGAGAATTTGCAAAGCCACTTAAACCTAAGTCACAAAGGGGAGTGGGACAGAGGGATGAGATCGAGAGTTTCATGGGCAAGGCTCACACTCTTGCATCCATCTCCATAGGGAAAGTATTTCTCAGCTCCTGGAGAGCAGGACTGAGGGCCAGAGAGTGAAATCCTGAGCAGCCTGAGCTGGACTCAGAGCACAGATGGGTCAGGAGCTGCAGTTTCCATGGCTGTGCCCAGAGTGTGATAGCAGCACTAATGCACTGCACTATTTAAACACCCCCTGGGCAACAGCCAGGTTAGCTGAGGCTGGCCTGGAGCACAGATGAAGAACAGGCAGGTGGAAGAGCTGAATCAGAGGGAGATGGCCCCAGGGGGCTGCTCAGGCAGGGGTGGGATACAGAATTCCATTCTGCTACAGCCTGAGAAAGGGAAACCTGATGGGGTTAAGCAGGTGAACAAATGAACCACTGCAGAACAGTTGTTCTGCTCAGCCTGAGCAACACAGGGTCTTACAGAGCTGTAGGGTCTTTGCAGGTAAGCAGATGCAGCAGTGCCCATCCAGCCTTTGGAAACACCATAGCTGGAACAGATTAAGGAGAAAGTCAAACATTTGGGTTTTTCTGTGAGTGTGTGCATGTCCTTGCTGCTTCCTCAGGAGCAGCCATCCCTCCTGTGCCGGGAGATGCCAAGTGACCTGGGGAATGAATTAATTAATATCTGGCTCTAGGCAGAGAGCCTTCAAGAATCCAAAGTCTTATTTCCATTTTCCCCCACAGAGCAGGTGAGCACATGCACGTCCTCTCGCTGATCACTCTTTAAAAGCCAGACTGGCACACTCGTGACTTTCTAAAAGGAAAGGGGCACTTCTTTAATGCCCTCACCTCTGTAACCCTGCAAAGATTAAACTCTGGCAGCAAAGCAACTTCCATTGCTGTGGCAGTTGTTATTCTAGAAATAACAATTTCTAGAATGACAATTGTTATTCTAGAAATAACAATTGCTATTCTAGAACTTCTAGCCAGGGAGAATAGGGGAGTGTTCAGTTTGCTGTGCCCCAGAGAAGGGAAGCTGTGCCTGACAGCTCCATGTCCTGAGTTCACTCCAGCCCTGGAGTGAACTGATAACCCTGGACTCACGTGATAAGACTTCTGAGTGAACACTGATGTCATCAGCAGCACAGCAGCATTAGAGAAAAGACTGGAGAATGCTTTCTCTGTGTTTTTACCTGTTGCAGTCAAAAGCTTTCACTATTTCTTTCCCTGCTTCTAGTTCCCCCTCCTGAGCACACACAGAGCTCTTGATCTGCTCACCAGAGCAGATCTCTGAGCCCAGCTCACCCAGCACAGGGAGAAGAAGATTCCAGGCAGGGTGACAGATGCTCAGAGATTAAACAAGCTGCCCAGCAGGACAAAAAGAGGGAGCTGCTCTCAGTTTTTGACCAGGTCTTTAAGACAGGCAGAAGCACAGCAGCCCTTCCCCAGCATCATGGTGCCTGCTGCATGGCTTCACAAGTGCTGCTTGCCCAGGGAGCTCTGACAAAGGCTGGCAGAGAGCTGGGCAGGAAGGCAGCTTTTGGCTGATGCGCATTTTGTGGGAAAGACCAGCTGCCATCACTCTGGCTGCACCTGTGGAGCTTTTAGCAGGACCCCCAGAGCAGCCAGGAGCACAGCACTGCTGTGTGCCTGGTTCCTGTGTTCACATGCAGTAGCCAGGGCCAGCCCATGCTAGCCACCCTGGCAGGCTGCCATGCTGCCAGTGCCAGCTCGGTGACCTCCCTGAGCCTGCACACTCCAGGACAGGGGTCACTCCTGCCCCTGGCTGCCACCACCCTCGTTAGAAGCAGGCTCTGGCTTCAGGGAAGATAGGTAGGGCAGGGAACCAAGGGCCACCAGCTGGTATGGAAAAGGATGTGAGTGCAAATCCCCAGGACTGGGCCTGCACTGGCACCTAAACCACATTTCACCAGTGGTGATCTAGCCAGAGAAGAGAAGCAGCAGGTTCTGAGCAGGTCCCAGCTTCCCAAGGGATCGGATCCCCACGTTTCCCCTGCCTCCACGCTCTGGGTTTTTCCGCCTTTCCACAGCGCAAGCGTTGCAGAACACGGAGCTCTCACACCTCAAATCAGCAAACAGACTCCTGGCAAGGGTGAGCAGAGTGAGCAACTCTGCTGGAACGGGGCCCAGCACTCCCAAACCTCCGTGGTCAAAGGCTCTGGGATTACAGAGACACACAGCAGACTAGATACCTGACCAGGAACAGAAGAATCACTCGTCTTTCAAGTTGTGGCTGGTTCAAGACACCGGGAGCATTATTAACAGGGCTACTGAGCAGCTCCCTCAGGTCCTAGCCAAGTTCAGATCCCTCCCAAGTGGGGAGGGGTAATATATGAAATCGAATGTAAAAAAAAAAAGCTTCATGGTCCAGTGCATCAGCCGGACTTGCCAAAGAACCTTGCAGGAGAACCTCATGGCACCCACGAGAACAATGGGCAGCGAGCCCAGACCAGCTGGAGAGCTGCTGCCAAGCCCCGAGAAAGACCCAAAAGGCACAAAGTCATCCTGTGACCCTGTAGGAAAAGCAGAGAGCCCAACCCTGCTCCGGGCTCAGAGGAGGCGGCCCCAGGCACCCTCCTGGGCATCCGCAGCGGAGCCAGCACCGCCGGGCGCTCCGGGGCTCCCCTTACCCGCAGCTGCCCCTCTCTTCACTGCAAAACCAAAAGAGGAGCCCAGCACAGAATCACAGAGTGGGTCAGGCTGGAAGGGCACAGTGCGGCACCTGCCCAAACTCCCTGCGCCAGCAGAGCCATCCCGGAGCACATGGCACGGGATCGCATCCAGCCGCTCCTGGAATACCCTCACCCAGCGAGACTCCACAGCCTCCGCGGGCAATCCGCTGTGGCCCGCAGCCCTCCATCGCCCATCCCCTCCGGTATGTGGGGCACGGCCACCCCCCAGCCCTGTCCCCCCCGCATCCCGCGGATGATGCAACCTGCGGCCGTCGGGATGCGGCGGCTCCCGCCCAACCCTCCGCCTCACCCGCGCGCTCCGGACGCTGCCCGGGACACGGCCGCTGTGGGGACGGTGAGGAGGGTGAGGAAGGTGACGATGACGATGATGATGATGACGATGATGACGATGATGAAGATGATGATGATGATGACGATGAAGATGATGAAGGCGCGGGGGGCGCGCGCGGTTTAAGAGGAGCCCGCGAGCCGCGGCCCCGCCCCCCGCGCGCCCCGGCCCCGCCCCCCGCGCGCTCCGGCCCCGCCCCGGAGGGGGCGGGAGCGGCGCGGCGAGCGCTGATTGGTCAGCGCGGGGGCGTTGGCCACTCCGAGCCAGCCAATGGGAGCGCGGTGCGCGGGGCCGGAGCGCCCGGGGATGTCCGGCGGTGTCCGGGGGCGTCCGATGGGGTCCGGCAATGTCCGGCAATTTCCGGCAATGTCCGGCAATGTCCGACGGTGTCCAGCAATGTCCGGCAATTTCCGGGGCGTCCGATGGTGTCCGATGGGGTCCGGCGGTGTCCGGCAATGTCCGGCGGTGTCCAGCAATGTCCGCCAATTTCCGTCAATGTCCGCCAATTTCTGACTATGCCCGGCCATATCCAGCGGTGTCCAGCGATGTCCGATGGTGTCCGGCAATGTCCGTCAATGTCCAACGATGTCCCGCGGTGTCCGGAGGTGTCCGGCAATGTCTGGTGGTGTCTGAGGACATCCGATAGTGTCCGGCGATGTCCGGCAGTGTCCGGTGATGTCTGATGGTGTCCTGCAATGTCCAGCAATGCCCAACGGTGTCCAGCGATGTCCGGTGGTGTCCGGCGGTGTCTGATGGTGTCCGGTGGTGTCCGGCAATGTCCAGTGATGTCTGACAGTGTCTGGCAGAGTCCAGCAATGTCCATCGATGTCCAGTGGTGTCCAGCAGTGTCCAGAGATGTATGTCTGGCAGTGTCTGATGGTGTCTGGCAATGTCCGGCGATGTCCGACAATGTCCAGTGATGTCCAGCAATGTCCAGCAATATCCAGTGGTGTCCGGCAATGTCCGGTGATGTCCAGCCGTGTCTGGTGGTGTCCGATGGTATCTGGCAATGTCCGGCAAAATCCAGTGGTGTCCTGTGATGTCCAGCAGTGTCTGGTGGTGTCCAACAATGGTGTCTGGCAATGTCCGGCCGTGTCTGATGTTGTCCGGCGGTGTCCAGCCGGATCGCTGAGGGAAAGCCGGGCGGAACACCCAGGGTTTACCCACAGGGCCTCCAGAGACTGTGTCCAGTTCTGGCCACCTCAGTTCAGGAGGACATTGGGGTGACAGAGCGTGTCCAGAGAAGGGTGACGGAGTGGTGAAGAGTCTGGAGCACGAGTCCTTTGAGGAGCTGGGGGTGTTCAGCCTAGAGAAAAGGAGGCTCAGGGATGATCTTGTCCCTCTCTGCAGCTCCCTGACAGGCTGTAGCCAGGTGAGCCAGCCTCTTCTCCCAGGCAAACAGCAACAGGACAAGAGTAAATGGCCTCGAGCTGCACCAGGGGAGGTTGAGGTTGGACATCTGGAAGAGGCTCTTCACAGAACAGGTGGCTGGACGCTGGAATGAGGTACTGAGGGGCATGGTGGAGTCACTGTCCCTGAAGGGACTGGATGTGTCACTTAGTGCTGTGGTCTAATTCACATGGTGGAGATCACTCAAAGGTTGGACTTGATGATCTCAGAGGTGTTTTCCAACCTAATTAATCCTGTGACCTGGAGAAAGGGCTCTGCCGGGGCACCTTTGAAGATGTTTTACTTGTGTCCCCAAGGACAGTGGCCATAGTGGGGACACAGATGTGGCTGCCAGTGGCTCCCGAGCACAGCCTGTGGTAGTGGCTGCTTGTCTGGTTTGGGGGGGAATTTCCACTAAATCTGAGGGGTCTGTGAGGGGCTTCATGCTGGGACAGCAGTCAGGTGCTCCCCCTAAAAAGGCCTTGGGGTTGTGCAGGCATTGCCCAGGCATCTCAGCTTGCCCAGGCCAGAAACAGGGGAGAGAGGTGCAGGTAGCCCCAGGGCAGGGAGCCTGGTGAATCATGGAATGGTTTGGGTTGGAAGGGACCGTAATGACCATCATGTTCCAACCCCCTGTTGTGGGCAGGGACACCTCCCACTAGACCAGGTTGATCAGAGCCACATCCAACCTGGTCTTATACACTTCCAGGGATCCAGGGGCAGCCACACCTTCAGGAAACCTGTGCCAGATCCTCACCACCTCCACAGTAAAGAATTTCTTCCTAATATGTATTGAAATCCTGCCTTCCTTCAGCCCAAGGCTGAAGAGAATGTGACCATGAGTAATTCACCTGGGAAACAGCTCAGTGTCACAACAGCTGCATCCTCACTGTTGTGAACAGGGCTTGAGGTGTGGAACACAGGGTGCAGGTGAATTTACCCTCCATGCAAATTATCTTACAGTAATTTTTTAAAGGTTGCTCTAGATTATTCAGAAAGTTAAAAACAAAACAAAAAAACCCAAACAAAACCACAGAGATCCTTTCATGAAAGCAGAAGATGCTGAAAGGCCTTACCAGAGAGAAGGTCCTCAAGAATGCAGCCTGTTGGTTTGGAAAGTCCAAGCAGCAATTTCTTCTGTATCTATAAAAAGTACCAATACAGAGAAAAGCAGTTCAAGGTAGTTTATTTTAGGACAGTGTTCCATGTATTTCAGGCTATTGAAGGAGTTGAGACAGCTGTATGTCTACATCTGCACATGCTATATGGTATATAGAGCTATTTGGGGAATACTGCATGCTGTAGAAATAGGAAAAATAAGAAATAGGATGTTTTAATCAAGTGGTAAAAGTGACAGAAAAGACTTTCCAACTGGATGTGACTGATCTAAAGCTGAGGGACCAGTTTCAGCACTAAAAAGTCAAGAGTCTGTCTCTCTGGTAAGAAAATGGACCATGATTAGAATGTGGGGTGAAATTTATGAAAAAAAATCAAGAAAAACACTGAGCAATTAAAAACAAATCAAGAGAAGAGCCAGATATTTTATATTTGCCATAAATAGAGACACTGAAGCAGCTGTATCATTACATTGTTAAAAACTCCCAACTTGCAGAGAGACATCCACATCAATGACAAATTACGGAATCACAGAGTCACAGAAAATTCTGAGTTTAGAAGACCCACAAAGATCATCAAAATAGAATTTCTGGTTGAAATGACACTGTTTTTTCCTACCCTCTATATTCTAGTTTTACTACAGAAGAGTTTACTAGAAAAATAGTGTTCTTAAACAGAACAATTATTTACTGTAAAGCATAGTTTGCTTAGTTAATTACATCTGAAATATGCTATGAAGTGACATTTACACAAGTAACCATTAACCCCACTGGTAAAATACCAGTTGGAAAAAACACGTGGAATGAGATTGTGACTGGCATCTGGTGCCGATAAATTATGGGATGGCACAAGAACGATGCAGAGGGTGACGTTAAGGAGGCCTGGCCCTAGATTTGGGTCTCAGAGAACCAAGAGATGCCAGGGCACATGCGAGGTGAAGCTATGCAGAAATCCATCACTATTTGGAACAGGAGGAGTGCGAGCACTGACCACCTGCAGTCCTAGGCAAGGAGGGATATCCATACCTTTCATGCCTTTCAGGAGGGACTGGAGAAGAAGCTCTGAGCCAGCTGTTGTGCCTGAAGACGTGCCAGCCTTGCAGCAACTGCTGCAGCTTCAGGCAGATGGGTGTCGAGGTATGACACAGATGGATGTGCCACATCCTGAGAGATGTAAGACAGACACTTCAGAGGAAACTTGTAAGACCATGTGACAGCACCAAGTGTGTTGGAAACTATCTGAACATAATGTGTGAGGCAAATTAGAGGGATTTGTAATTGCAGCACAGCTCTGTATTCAAGATCCAATTTCCTTCACCAGGTGAAGAATGGTTTGGGTTGGAAGGGACCTTAAAGAAAGTCTTAGTTCCAACCTCCCTTCCACATGCAGGGAGACCTTCCACTATCCCAGGTTGCCCAGAGCCCCAAACTACCTGACCTTGAACACTTCCAGGGATGGGCAGCCACAGCTTCTCTGGGCAACCTGTGCCAGGGCCTCACCACCCTCACTGGGAACAATTTCTTCCTAATATCCAATCTAATCCTGCCCTCTTCCAGCTTAAGGCCATTCCCTATTGTCCTGTCACTACATGCTCTTCTGGAAAGTCCTTCTCCATTAAAAGGGAGTTTTGGTGTATATAATAAACTGATTTAAAAGATCTCCACAGCAACATCAACCCACACTGTGCCATTGGCTTTAAAGCCATTAAAATCAATCTTGGTGTCTGGGAATGAATACACACCACTAATGTGCTCCATTAGGGCTTAGGTCAATCAGCAGGATACAGATTAATCCCCATCCCAGCCTTGAGAATAATTCCCATAAATCAGCACCAATTTCATAAGGAGAGCCACTTAATCCATTTCCTGAGACCTGGCGTGATTTGGTTTCTTTCTCTTGCAAGGGACAAGAGGAGCTACAGTGAGAGTTGGTGTAAAAGCAAAATTATGATCTAATCAGCCTAGCAGTGAAGTGACACCAGCTGGAACATTAACATGAAAAAACCAGCTGCTTTAGGAATGGCAAGCAGAGAATGATGTTTCTTGTATTAGTGACGAGTAGACATGCTGAAGACTGAAAGGTCAAGAAGAGGAACCCCTTGGAGAAGCACAGTCAGTAATCAAAGAGAGGGGGGAAAAAAGGTAAATGCTCTTGTGGTAAGATCACTGAAAGAGGGGATCAAGTGGAGGAGGCTTTTTGTGAGCAGCAACTAAGTCACCAAAAGAACCAGTGGAGCTTTGGTGGTACACAGAGCCCTTTTGGAAAGGGAGAGCATAAGCCTATTGCACAAGTTCATGGAAATGTTTTTAAGTAAAGGGAGGAAAACACAGCCCAAAAAGAATCACTCCTTATTTTTACTGCATGGGATGGATTAGCCACAATTTGGACAGAATCATATTTCAGAATGATTTTTGGCAGACTGGAGAAATCAGAAGACAAAGTAAAATAGGAAGGCGGTCAATAAGGGCAAGTGCTTAATTTTGCAGCCAGGCAGAAGGAATAATCTGCTTGAGTGGCCATTACCTGGACAGGAATTGTGTGGAGCAGCAGGGATGACTACAGTGCCAGGCAGGCTCAATGTGAGTCAACAAGGTCCTGCTGTTGTGTAAAAAGCAAACATCGTGCAGGGTTAAGCAAACAGGGATCCAGCCTGCAG